TTCAGCAGCCCTGGCACATGTGCGCCCAACACAGAAGAGGGAAACAGAGAGGGGACTCCAGGAAAGGTGTCAGCAGACTTGCTGAAGTCCAGACTAGAGTAGTGACCAGAGTCACCAACTGTGTTCTGGGCCAGGCTCCTCTGCTAGAATAAGCAGTGCAGTTTGCACAAATTACAAACAATTACAGAGCCTTCCTAGTCTAATTTTTTTTGAAGAGGGAATCACCACATATGCTGCTTGCTTCTTTCTTAAGGGTTTAGTTCTAAAACTCTTAATGATAAATGAGAAGCAACTGGTGAGAACCTGCATGTGTGTCTCACTCCAGATGACACTGCTGGAAACAATGGCATTTCCAAACACTATTCCTACATATAAGTATATGACAGAAAGAGGAGCAAGGACAGCCCCCATTTCTTACCACAGTGATTCTGTTTTCTTCAATAGATTCTACAGCAGCCTTTTTTTTCATTTCTTTCTCTTTGTTTTGCTTTTGGTACTCATCTTCTACTTCTGCAGCTCCTCTAGCAAGACGATCGTCTTCAATCTTAATTTTTTCATTCATCTGGGCAGTTAATTGATCAAAAGCTTTGTCCTTATGCTTCTGTATCATCCTGCAGGAGAACATGAGCTACTGTAACATCCCAGGACATCTGTTCAGATTACCCAAGGCAACTGGTAACTAGATTCAAATAACACCAGCAATCCTACCTCCACCCCAACAGCACTAATTACTACTGGAACTGGTAGGCATTTTTTTCTGCACTATTTCAAGCTCTAATTATAGAAAACTTACTTGCATCAAACTTCTGATTTTGCTGATATAACAACTGAGAATAGTGTTTGTCGCAAAATGAAATTGCAAGTATGAATTTTAACACTGAAAATTATCCCTGGACCCACCTGCTAGACTCTTCATTTTTTTCTCTTGTCAGATCAGCCATCATTTCTTTTCCTTTAATATAAGCCTTAATTTGATCATCATCTTTGTCTTCTCTTTGTTTCTCTTCAGCTTTAAGTGTTTTCTGTTCAGCTACATATTCCTGTTTAAATGGAAAAGTGCTTTTATTTTCATGTAGAATGAGATTTTGGAAACATGAACCAAAAACAAATTCTAACAAATACTTCAGGCCTAGCCTGTAATAAGGAGTTCTTTACATCAGTGGAGAAGCTACAGAAGATAGAAATCCAGAGATAAAAGAAAATTTTAATTCTCTACTTATCACAACCCACAACAAAAATAAAATTAGTATGTGCTTGCAACCCCAGGCTTATAGTATCTTTATATCCTCTCCTCTACCTTCCCAGTGGCACCAACTGTACTGCTCCTATCCTGCGTATCATTCATATGGTGCAGACTCTGAAGGGTTCAAACAGTAAGTCTGCAGAACCATCAAAATGTAAAGCATAAGGCATTTTGTTATGACTCAGAAATGGCACTTGTATAGCTTGGCATTATGTATAGCTTTTCTTGCACATATAAGGTTGGGGGGGAAATGGGTGAAAATTTGTGTATTTGGGGTGAGGAGTAAAGAAGGAAAAAAAGCAGGTAGGATTTTAGTGGGAATTCGCTCCTTTTACTCCCTCACTTGGCAATGAATCATCACAGTACCTCTACTTCAGTTTCCCTGCCCAAGCAGGCATTGTCAGGGAAACAGTACGTGTAGTATGTACGTCATCAGTAAGTTTAAAAGATATTGTCATACTCAGGCTGTTCCCTCTCCCTAACAAAGAAAAATGGATGTAGAGCAAGTACATGGAACCTAAATCAAATTCTCAAGTCAAGGACAATCTCGTTGCTGATTCTAGCAGACTTTGTCCATTGTAGACCAGTCAAAGCTCAGGTACCACATTAAAACTTCCAAGAGGAAAGGGTAATTGGCAGGGTAGGCATTTGATCCCAGGCTACTAAAGCTGTCAGCAAAGACCCTGTTGCCCACAATCCTGTTTATTTGTGGGCCAAATCCAACCATCACAGCCAAGGTGAAATACACATTTTGAACTGTCTGCTTTCCTGCTACTTACATGATGCTGCCTCTGGAATTCAACTTTTTTCTCCTGTTCCTTTTCTTTATCTTTCTGATTTTCCATTTGGTATGATTCGGTTCTTCGCTGTATTCGTTCCCCTTCTCTTCTGTTTTCCAGCTTGGCCAGATCAGCTTGATCCTTGTGCTCCTTTATTCTGAATCAGAAAAGGGAAGTGAATAAATGAGCTAGAGACAGCATAAGGTAATAATGAACAGATACAGATTCTGGACAGCTGTGAGTACTTTAACAGTAAAAAACCCTGATACTTTGAAGCAAAATAGCAGAGATCAAAACCAGAGTCAGTTTCTATAAGCTATCTCCAAATTCTTTGGCCAAAGCTCAGTTCCAGTCTGAGGGTGCTAGGGATGTCTATACTAGAAGTGAACATGACCGGCGTATGGACTCTAATGTTATATTGAATTTGATTAGCCTGTTTTATTGTTATCCCGCTCCCTGTACAACCTTGGCCTTTTCCAGCAAACAGTTTTCTAAGTAGTGCCACAGCACTGTGCAAGACATGGCCATGGTGCCCATGCTAGCTGGAAGTGTGAAGGCTTCTAGGTGGAGGGAAGCACAATAGTGTGACAAGCCACTCGCTCTGGGTGCCAGAATTGAGCCAGTCTTGTTGGAGGTGTTAGGACATAGCTTCTGACAGCAAGAGACTTTTCTGAAGCTGGAGAACAGAATTATGGAGGGTGAGGAAAGGTCCATCTGACCACAACTTGAGGATGATCTGAAACCCTCGTTCAAAAGCAGTGAGTCACGCAGCCCCGGGCACGGAACGCCCAAGAGCTGCCCCTTTTCGCGGGCCGTGCAGCCGGACTCGCCCGGGCCGGGCTGGCCACGGGAAGGTTTTTAACCCAAACCCTCTCGTCCCGCTCCCGGGGCCCCGCCGCCGGACTCACTGCGCCAGCTGCTCCTGGGCCACGGCCCGGCGGCTCAGGTAGCGGCCACGCTCCACCTCTGCCTCCCGGCGGATGGCGTCCGGCCCATCGCGGTCCATCGTCGGCCTGTTTCACCGCTTCTTTGGAGACGGAACGTCTGCCGAAGGAGAAGCAGGGATCTCACTGACGGCTCGGCTCCCCGGGAAATCGATCCTTCTCCCGCCCCGCTCAAAGGCGGCGGCCCGGGAGCGCTGAGGCGGGAAATGGCACCCGAGTGGGCGGTGGCCGCTCCTTTGTGAGTGCTGGAGCGAAGCCGCGCCCCGCCCGGCTCCGCCCCGGGGAGCTGCGGCGTCCGGTCCGTCCCACACGGAGGGAAGGAAGGAAGCCACCCCCCTGAGACCGGACCCTCCTCCGCAGCCGGTTCCTGAACTTCTCGTTTCCCCTTGGCGCGCCTGTACCTGGTAAGAGGCTGAAATGGCCCCTCCGCCTCTGTCCTTCTGCTCCGGCCGCGATCTGCTCCCGCTGGTTTGCCGGGGCCGTGCAGCTCGGCCTGGCTCCGTGCGCTGCTGCGCCTCGCAAGAGCCTTTGCCCCGCCAGGCCTGCCTGTTGCTGGGGCCCAGAGCCCTCGGCGGCCCTGGGAACTGGATGAGGAGGTCGGGCCTCCTTCTCTTTCCAGGAATTGACCCCTTGCCTTGCCTGGATAAGATTCCTCGAGGAGGTGACTGCTGCACCCGGGAAGGACAGCACCCACCTTACAAGTAGAGTTTTTACAGTGTAGTGGAGGTAAAGCCAGATCTGTTTGGCCCTCAGCTTCCTAGAGGTACCTTGCCTCCCTGGTAGCCTCACATCTTCCTAGAAGCCCTGTGCTTTCTCCAAGGCCTGGCTGCTTTCGGCATCTAGGCCAAGGAACTTGAGGACACACCAAAGACCTACTTTCAAAACTGAAATATTGGCAAGCATCCTTTTATTTTTTTAAAAGGACTTGTATTATTTTCTGGTCTGGCCAGCAGAGACTGGCAGATGTGGGGTGCAACAAAGCAAAGCTTCAGCTTTCTTGGACTTTGTTTCCAGTGGACACCAGGATAGAGTGATACCCTGTTCAAAGCCCGGGGTACTGGTGCAGGAAGTCATTACAGGAACCCCTAACTTCCAAGGCAAGGAAATCATGTTAACATTTCACCAAAGAAACCTAAGCTTAAGGAGGGAGACGTGTCTGTGGCTTGGGTGTAGGTGAGTAAATCTGCTGAGGAATCTGAGATACAATTTTAGATTGCATCTATTTAATAGATTACATCTATTTACAGACTGAATTGCTGTTAAGTCTTTTTAAAAGAACAGCCCAACTATGTTGTCTCTGGTTGATATGCTGATTTTGCAGGCCCTATTTACAGCTTTATTGGGACCTGTTTGCCTCTTTGGTGATCTTTTAATGGCTGGGATCAAAGCACATTAATATTTTCATGTAATCAAACTGATTTATAGCATGACATTTGTTTTTCAGACATAGTTGCAAATTGCTACCAAAACTGCACACCCTAACTGTTCTAACTTTCACATATATTCTCTTTTCTTTGTCCCCTGTAGTTGTTTTGGTTTGGTCTTTTCTATTATGGGGAATAATTAACTGTAAGTATGCTAGTGAAAAATGTGACTTTTTGCCCTGAGAATTCTTATTGCAGACCTGAAAAACCTGGGACAGTGAATTTTTAGAACAATGAATATTAAAAATATAACAGAAATAGTGAGCTTTTGGCTGGACTGGGTTACAGTGACAGTCAATTATATAATACTAATTCCTGTCTCAAATTTAATAAACTAACATTCATGAAATACAAGCTGGGGATTTTTGAGAATAAAACCAGTTATATGGCAAGCTTTAATTTTTTTCAAATTGAAGTCCAGATTCATGGTATATATTTAATATAAATAATTTACAGTTTAACTCTGCCTGTAAGGTTGAAAAGCATATTTATTTAACTTGAAAATGGCTTCTGCCTTTCCTTGGTGTATAGTTCAAACGTAATCTCATGGTTTTGTTTCTTGAGCAGCATTACAGCTACAACAAGGTAACTGGGTCCCAACATAGAATTATATGTTTGGAAACTAGTATTTATTTATTCTTTTCTCAGAAAAATGGCCCACATCCACGTTCTCTTCCATATTTGCATGCTTTGAGAAGAGGATAAAGATGATGTGTAGTCTTGGACTCTGTTTCAATTAGTTCCTTTGCATATTTCTGAAACTCATGCTCTTTAGAAAGTGCAATAGCCTCTGTCTGAGCATAGTAGTCCAGTTCTGCTTGTTTCTCCTGCTCTTTTCTTGCCTGCTTTTCAGCCTGGTGAAGAAAAGGGAATAACAAAGCTTAGTACTTTGTTCTCAACATCACCATCCTGTGAAACAGAGAGGGTAAAAGCTTACAGAAGGTCTAAGGCATCCTTAGTTGATACTTGACACTTATCATCCCTCCCCACTTCTCTCCCCTGCCCTATCCCTCCAGAAAGGGTACATTAAATAGCTGAGTGAATGTCAGCATTAGCTGCTACTCTTTGGTGACCTGCCCAGAAGATACAGGAGGACAGCAGTGCATGGTCAAAAAAATGTTATAATGGCACAGGATAGGATCTGATCTGCTCTTGCAGACTAGCCTTGATTTGCACCAATGCTCAGAGGAAGCTGGTCCCCAACACCAGCATATGCCAAGCACACATGATTAAAAAGAACCTAACAAAAAAAATCCAAACAAAACAGGAAACTTCCTCTCTTTATCTCAGTAGGATCTATTGGTTTAGATGCAGGCTTCTTTCTGAAGGGAGTGACAGGATACAGCTTTTCTACTTACTATTTGTTGGAGCTGAATTTTCTGTACTTCTCTGTTTGCCTCATGTCGTCCATGTTTTTTGTTGTTTTCCATTTCCAGGTGGATGCGGGCTTTTTCCATTAACTTATCACGTTCTTTTTCAGCCTCTTCTTTCTCCTGTCTCTCCTTTTCCTCTTTCAACTTCATCTGTAGTTTACAAAACACACAAAAGTTAACCGAGGAGCTGGCCTGCTAAGCTGGAAGTTGTATCTCTCTACAGAAGCAGCCCTGTATCAGCACTCTGATAAGCACAGTCACAGTGGCTGGCCCGTGTCCAAGCCCAGGGCTTTTAGCAGCCCTGGCACATGTGCGCCCAACACAGAAGAGGGAAACAGAGAGGGGACTCCAGGAAAGGTGTCAGCAGACTTGCTGAAGTCCAGACCAGAGTGATGACCAGTCACCAACTGTGTAACTCTGCTGGAGTAAGCTGGCCCAAGTTTCTTACCACAGTGGCTCTATGTTCAGCAATAGACTCAATGGCAGCCTTTTGTTTTGCTTCCTTCTCTTTGCGTTTTTTTTCTTCTTCAGCTTCTATTCTTGCAACATCTCTAGCCAGTCGACCATCATCCTTCTTTAATGCCTCAGTCATTCGTTCAGCTAATCGACTAACGATTTTGTCCTGTTTTTCCTGTGCTTCTCTGCGGAAGAACATGAGCTGCCATAACATAACAGGGCAACATACCTGGTCTACCTGAAGATACTAAACTCAGCAATTACGCTTCTAGAGTTCTCTGCTCTTGACCACACAGGGTGGCCCACCCACCCAACTCATGATCTCCTTCTGTTCCTCCTGTTTGGTTTATTTTTATGTTATCTGATTTAGCAAATAAATGTTCCCTGTGTTCTTGTATCACTAGTTTCTGCTGCAGTAATGAGCATAACAATAATATGGCAATAATCCAACTCAGTAAGGATTCCAGTGAGCATCTTGCCATCAGGAGAGGAATGTTGGAAGTATTGGCCAGAAGCAGGAAGGGAAGAAAACCTAGATTGACTCAGTGGTGTATCATCATGCTGTATTCTCAATGTTAAATTGATAAAACATCTCCTCTTAATATGAATATGTTGGTAATTAATATATGTGCCTTGTTAAGAAGTCAAATCATTTTTCTTGAACTGACTCAGACAAATATACCTTATACTCAAAAATATTTTCATCAATGAACTTAATTGTCTTTAATTGTTGTGGAGGTGGAGATTTGGCAGGACATATGGAAAATCACTCTTCACAATACACTAGTGCAAAGCTTTGCACTTTCATAAGCCTCTGTACTTCGAAGGGTGGAGAGATTGCTCCCTCACACTCATACTAAGGAACCTGTAAATAGTTTCCCCTTTCTCCTGAATTCCCTGGTCTCCTTATGAGTAGGATTTAGAATAATGTTTTAGAATAACTGTTGATTGTGTTCTGTCATTAGTCTAAATGATCTGAAAACAACTACAGTAGCATTTTAGATTATTTACAATTTATACCTCAGCACTGTACCTACCTACGCATTTCAGCTTCTTTCTTTTTTCTCATCTGGGCAATAATTTCCTTTGCTTTAAAATGAGCTTTGATCCGATCATCTTCTTCCATTTGGTTTTGTTTCTCTATTGCTTTGATTATTTTCTGGTCATTTACGTACTCCTGTATGGGAAAAATGGTCCTGATGTAACAGATGATATTTGGAATATCTGGACCTGGGGTAGCAGCTTACAGGAATCACTCCCTGTTCCCCCTCCTCAAGTTTCTTTCAAAAACAGAAGAGAGAAAGGATTCTCAGGAAAGGAGAGAGAAGACAGGAAAGGGATACTTCCACTTACTTCTGCCTCCCTATTCAAACATGCATCAAGAGGAGATAGTGGATGTAAGGGTGGGGAAAAGGAATTGAGCATCAAAGAGCTGCTCCTCCAGTGCATTGCACAAACAAAATTCCTGTGCGATGCAGAGAGCACTGTGCCGTGTTCCCAATTACGCGCATTGGTGAGGGGGACGGTCCACCACCCACCCACACAGATCATTCTGTTCCTGGCCCCACCTCATCCAAAACTATCCCTGTCTAAGAGTTTAATCCAAAACACAGCAGAAAAGGAATTTTCTATACTTTTATGTAAAAAAAACCTTTCTTTTGCATGCTGGCCAGAACTGCTCTGAGGCACTTCTTGTTTGTATCTTAGTAGGATGCCTTTAAACATGAAATGAGATGGCAGCAAGTCTTGACTAAATTCCTAAATCTCTCCAGTCATAAATATCAAGTCAAATTTAAAAGATGTATTCAGTCTCTATATAGTCCCTCTTTCTAACAAATAAAAATGGGCTTAAAACAGCAGGAATGTGAAATTTAAACCCAGTTCTCAAGTCAAGGAGATATTCCTTGATGTCCACAGCCAAATCTTTAACCACAGACCAATCAAAGCATCAAATGCCAACGTCCTTCTGGATGACAGAAGGGAGAAGCCTCCAAGAGGTCTTTCTCAAAAGCTCAGGGGAAAGACCTGGCCTGCAACTGGCAGGGTAGGCATTTGATCCCAGTCTACTAAGATTGTCAGCAAAGACTGTTGCCAGCAGACCCTTTTATTTGTGAGCTGAGTCCAACCATTAAAGCCAAAGTGAAATACACGCTTTGAACTATCTGCTTTCCTGCTTCTTACATGATACAGCTTCCGGCGTTCAATTTTTTCCTTGTGTTCCTTTTCTTTTTTTCTCTGAATTTCCAGTTGGTACAGTTGGGTTGATCTCTGTATTTCTTCCTCTTCTCTTTTTTTTTCCTGTTTGGCCAGATCTGCCTGTTGCTCACGCTCTTTTATTCTGAATCAGAAAAAGGGGAATAAATGGTCTAGGAACTGCATGAAGTAATGAACTGCATTAGCTACCTTGCAGTGAAGAATGTGATACTTTGAATTGAAGGTAGGTAGAATATCAGAGGTGAATAACAGCATGATTGTTTGTAGTGGTAGCTCTGGTCAGAAATGAGCTACATGGTATGCTCAAGTTTGTAGTCCCGTGGTGAAAAGTTTTAGCTGGACTCATTAGCGCCACTGTATTGGTAATGCTCTGGCCGGTATCTGCAGCATTCTTGGAGAACAAGCTTTCCCCAATATTATCCACCATACCTGTGTTTCTTCTGGGCATGCAGGTAGCAGCTTAAGCTGGTAGTATTCTATACCAAGTTCTGCAAGGATCTATATGTTGTGCCTGGAATATGTGAGACCAGACTTTGAACCCTTCCTCTGCCTTGGGAAATTTGATTCCTTTTATCAGAGCACCAGGGTCAGTCCTATAAATACCACTGGGGACCCTTCCATAAGATTTATGGAAAACCGGAGAGAAGGAATAGAAGTGACAGTAATGCCTTCTCTTGTTGTGCAGTCTGGAAGCTCATTATGGGTAAATGGGAAATCTAATTTAACCTTTTACTTGTCTGGAACAAACACTAAGTAAAATACTGAGTAATTTCATTAACAACATTTGAATAGTGATTTGACTAAAACCTGATTCTTCCCAGAGGCAATTTTGCATGTAGACTGTTGGCAACTAAAAACATATAGCATTTCCCTTTTGGGGAAGATCTTCTGTGATCTTCTTTTAAAAGGATGGCATTTCTGAAACAAATTATTAATAAGTTTCTGTAAAAACCTCGTGGAATGTATTTTGAGAAGAGTTTAAGTAAATAATGAAGTAGAGTTGCTTTTAATTATTACTTACTGTTCTAGCCTATCTTTGCACAGTGCCTGTTGTTTCATGTATTGCTGACGTGCTTTTTCCTGCTTGCTGAGAATGTATTCTTTAAATTGACGTTGCTCTTCCTCATAATCCCTCTTCCTGTTATCAACTAATCTTGACTTTAGAAATTCAATTTGAGCATCTCTTTCTTTTAGGACCTTAGTAAGTAGAAGCGCACTCTGCAAGAGAACATTTAAAGTAGTTTTCATGTTCAGAAGTTTTTAAAGACATTCAGTACAATTTCAATGTAAAAAATATAAGTTGTCAACAAACATGGAACTGTCTCATTCTTTCGTCCTGGTAACTTAGGTAGGTTTTTACACGATCGATAACCTCCTTCCGTTTTTCTGCTTGGAACTTTGCTTCTTCCAAATCAAGTAACTTTCTTTCTTCCTCTTCCTTTTCTTCACGTAATTTTTTGGCTTGAAGTTTCTGTTTTATCAGGCTCTACAGTGCAGACAAAATTAGAAATCACACTTAAATCCAAAGTTTTTTGGTCTTTTACTATGCATTTTAGCTTTAAGTTAAAAAAAAATAAATGTTTATGTTAGAAGTTAAATGTATTTATATGGCAGTTAGCTGAAATACATATTCAAAAGTAAATGTTAAACAAAGGGAATACAGATAGAAATATTACTCAGTGTGTTTTTGTATGTGCAAAAGCGACTACCCTTGTTACAAATGTATCTTGTACTTACCAGAGTGGCATCTTTTCCAGCAGCTTTGGAGTCCAGGTGCACTCCTTCCTGTTCCTTCTTCTCATCGATGTGTGCTGCTTCTCTAGCGCTACCCTGAATCCTTTCCCATTCTGCTTTTGGAAATATAATGACCTGACGAAGATCTGCTTCATTTGGAAGGAAACACTTACCTAGAACATCCTTTTCTTTCAAATGATGTGCTGTGCAGAGGGAAGAAAAAATACAAAGGTTACTCGATACCAGAAAATCCAATAATCAAACATATATCAGGATTTGAATGCTTGCATGGTAACAATACTAAGTTATCCTTAGTATTAGTTACTCCCCAAACCCCAGAGCTAAGACAGGGTGTCTGTATCTGTAATCTACCTATGACCAGTGCATGTACTTGGACTGTTCATATGTGCCCTTGCCTGTTTGTCTGTGTGTATGTGTGGGTTTGGCTTATAGTAACACACTTCCCAGGCAGTACTTGGGCATGATTCTTAGAACAGCAGGAAGCAGAGACCATTCCCAAAATGAAAAGGAGAATATTGGTAAAGCCATTCCGCTGGCTGGATGAGGCAGCAATTTGGGGACAGACTGCCTTACTACCGTGTCCTGTATACTCATTGTATTTACTGAAACAGTTCTGTTGTAGAATAGTTTTTGATTTGTTGGCAAGACTAGAATTTTTTGTTGCATTAGGCTTACATACACGTGTGCAGGCATAAATGCAGCTTTTCTAGTTGACATCTAGGTTTTGTGAAATGCTCTTTCAAGTGTTGCCACCATTTTTGAAGGGACTGGCTCTCTGTACAGAATGGCGTTCTGTAGAAATTGTGTGATTTGCAGCAGACTGAGAGGCCGTGTCTGAAAAGTAAGGAGGCTTTCTCTTAGAGCGACACCAGTGTCAAAATCCGTTTTCCAGATGCCGTTGCTGACCAGTCTCCCAACAGGGATCAGACCTGATCCTCTCCCTCTGTCCTAGGTGAAGACAGCCTCACCAGAAGTAAAGGCGCACTGATGCGGCTGCGCCCTGCAGGCAGGAATCTGCCAAGACCCTCGTTCTTCCCCAGCTGCTGCCCTTGGAGGTTACTGGACCTGCTCTGCGTTCAGGTCAGTTCTCTCCACTCAGTTACTAGGGAGAAACAGCCCCTCTTGCCGTCTGCAGCTGGGGGAGCTCTGGGGAGAGTCACGCTGGGCACTGCTACAGCCTCCCTGAACCTTGCGGCCGCGGGCTCGCCACTGCCCTCCCGCCGGGTCCCTCTGCCCCCGGGGCAGCCGCACTCACGGGCGCCGCCCCGCCGCCGTCCAGCCGCTGCCGCCCCCGCCGCCGCCATCTTCCCGGGCCGCGAGGCCGTTGCCGGGCGACCCGGCGGCGCGCGGTCACGTGACGGTGCGTGCGGGGCGGCCCCGAGCCCCGCCGCCGCTGCCCCTTCCCCTCACGGGCTGGGCCCCGAGCCCCGGGCGCTGCCCCCGTGGGTACGGCCCGGCCGCCGAGGCTGCTCTGCTGTCTGCGGCACTGGCTGCAGGGCCCGAAGCGGAAGTCGGCAGATTCAGCTTCACTAATGGCTGCATTTCGTTTCGTTGACTGCTTTGATTTAGTGCGGCCTCGTTGAAGGCTCCGTGTCTTCGGTGGACGTTTCCTTTTGAAATACTTATTGAGTCGTTTTGCCAAGAGAATCCCGATTTGGTTGCATTGGCAAATGCTGATGGAGAAATTAGTATCTGCTCAAACTGGTGGTGTGTGCATACAGGAAGATTGGTGCCGTGTTAGCAAGTATTAGTAACTGCAGCGTGAGTTTAGATACTGTCACAGTAACTATTTATAAGAGAAGTTGGACCCTGAACTTTGGCATTTACAAATTGCATATTTTTAGCTACAGCACAGCTTCCCATTGCAGTAGTGGCCATAAATAGCTTATTTGATTCGGATATTTTCTTCCAGATTTTTTCTCTTATGAGCACCGGGTCAGGGTAGGAATATAGTACTTGTGTTTATATAAATAATTTTCTTTTTTGTTTGTTTTGGAAACTGTTTTCTCACAGCTATGAAATTTCTGTTGGTTTTTGATTTTGACCATACAATCATAGATGAAAATAGCGACACCTGGATTGTGAAATGTGCTCCTGAAAGAAAACTTCCTAATGGATTAAGAAGCTCTTACCAGCCAGGACATTGGACAGAATATATGAGCAGAGTCTTTCTCTACTTGGGAGACAATGGTGTCAAAGAAGATGAGATGAAAAGAACTATGACAACAATTCCTTTCACTGCCGGAATGATAGATCTTCTGGGATTTATTGGCGAGAACAAGGAGTTGTTTGATTGTATAATTGTTTCAGATTCTAATACAGTATTTATTGACTGGATTTTGAAAGCTGCTGGCTTCCATAAAGTATTTGATGAAGTGTTTACAAACCCTGCAGCATTCAGCAGTACTGGCTATCTTACTGTACAGCACTTCCATGCTCACCATTGTGCAAAGTGCCCTAAAAACCTTTGCAAAAGGAAAGTTTTAAAAGAATTTCTAGATAAACAGTTGGAGCGAGGAGTGAGTTATACACAAATTGTATATATAGGTGATGGTGGGAATGACTTATGTCCAGTAATGTTTTTGAAGAAGAATGATATTGCTATGCCCAGGCAGGGGTATACCTTGGAGAAAAAGATTTCTCAACTGGCCCAAAGTCTCAGTCCTGTACAGTGTTCTGTTCTGGTTTGGTCATCTGCAATTGATGTCATGTCTTACCTGAAACTACTTATAAAGGAATGATTCAAATGATAAAAGGAAACTGATACAGTTACATTTTAACTTTTTGGAGAGAAAAACTGCATGCGTATAAAAGCTCAAAATTGTAAAATTGGGCTATTTGAAATTATGGGTTTTTTTAACCATAACATAAAACTGTTTATGTTCAATCCTGGTAATAATGGGAAAGTGTAGTAAAAAAGGCCTTCTAACATAGTACAGATTCCAGCATAAGTGGAGTGGGGGGGTTGGAACAGGACTTGTCATTAGTTTTTGTCTACTCCCTCCCCTCCAATCCTTTACCAAGTATATAACTGACCTTTGCAATACTACACACTTAGGGGAAGGACTAGGATTACTGTTCAGAAGAATGAAATTCTTAACTTAGAAAACATTTGGTGCTAGGAACATGGTTCTGGAGCTGTTGGCTTTTATACTTCTTTGATCTGATGGCAAATGATTTGCTTGTAATCTTGTTTAATCCAAAGATGCATTTATATTTTCAATCTATTAAATACCAAACAAAATTACTTTTTAATAGTTTGTATTATCTTGTATTGTAAAGACAATAAAAGTTGCTGTCACTGACAAATGCAACACAACTAATTTGTGTCATGTATTCTGCTGGCCTGTGTGTCATCAGGTAGTAGAGAGCAGACACAAGTGTAGGTGTCAGCCTTTGGCTGGTCAGACCTTTCTCTTCTGGAAAGCTGTAAGGATATTGCTCTTTTGTTTAAAGAAAAGTCTCTCTCCCATTCTGACTACTGCCCCGACAGTGTGCTGCTGCCACTCTGTACAGAGCTGACACTGGTTTTATCTTCCATGCTGACATCTCTGAGTGAGCCAGAAGCCTTTTTCCTCCTTGGTTTCTGCTGCAGTGCACAGGCCCACAGAATGGTACATACATATACATGTATACACTGATTTTACCTGTTCACTCTCATCTATAGCTATAATACAATCTCTTACAGCTTGGACAGAATCCATTTTAACTTTTAAACAGATTGTTCTGTCTAAGTAGTTCTTAAGAATTGTTTGTGAACATGCAGTCTCTACCACCGACAGTGAGATAAGCCCCAAGTGTTGGACCATGCATATAAAGGTATTAAAAATAAATCTCATTAAAGTTAAATAATGTGTTTTTGTGCAAAATGTTTTTGTTCTTATACCCAGAAAAGGTTTAAAATGCTGATGTAGTCTGCTATTAAACTGAGGTCATATTTAGCTTAAGTGCTTTAATAACTGAAATGCGAGGCCAACTTTCACAGCACCTCAGTTGCAGATATCTGAGGTGTAGCTCAACAGCCTGCAGTTGCCATGTCTGTCTTCCTTTGTTTCCTGTGCAATGTTATTCTCATTTTCTTACAGACGTTTCATGATGTCACTACCTTTTTTTTCCTTAATTGAAGATTTTTGAGTGGTCTTGCCTGTTTTCAGGCTGCTGGTTTACTCAGATTTCCCTTGTGTACTTCTTTCCTTGCCTCACCTATTTTACTGTATTGTAGAAGGTTGCTTTGAATGGTCTGTTGCCTAAGATATCCAAAGTAATATACTTCAGTTCTCAGGAGCCTGGCTTTAGTAATGGATATTTGATAGGTATCTGAGATGTTCATATTTGGGATCTTGGCCTATTGTTTTACGCAAGGGCACAAAGACATCTAAGGACTGGTGGGTCTCAGGCTGTGGGAGTTTAAGTTGTCTGGTTTACAGGTCATACCCCATTCATTACCAAGAATGGTAATGGCTGTTGCATAGGGCAATTCCATATGTTACTTTAGGTTTTAAGTTGTTGCCATCGTTTGACCCCAGCTGGCAACTAAGTAGAGCAGCTTGTACGCTCCAGCCCTTCCCCCGCCCCACTCAGTGGGGCGGAGAATTGGGGGGAAAATTAAACCCCATGAGTTGAGATGAAAACAATTTAATAATTAAAACAAAATAAAAGATAGTAGTAATAAATTATTATAATTGTAATGAAAAGGAGAGAGAAAGGAATGTAGTCCAGGAGAAACAAGTGATGTACAATACACTGCTCACCACCTGCTGATGGATGCCCAGCCCATCCCCAAGCAGTGATCGGCCCCTCCCAGCCGACTCTCCCAGTTCCTGTCCCGAGTGTGCCCTCCCATGCTGTGGGATATCCCTTTGGCCTGTCCGGGTCAGCTGTCCTGGCCATGCTCCCCCAGCTCCTTGTGCAGCCTCTCACCGACAGAGCATGGGAAACTGAAAAGTCCTTGACTATGGGTAAGCACCACTTAGCAACAACCAAAACAGTGTGTTGTCAACATGATTCTCATAGTAAATCCAAAACACAGCACTGAACCAGCTGCTAAGAAGGAAATTAACTCTATCCCAGCCAAAACCAGGACAGTCGTGTTTCCTTAATTCTAGATGTGCTGCCGAATGTTCCAGATTCTGTGCTGGTCTCTTCTGTGTTTTTCAGAACATAGTTATGGAATAGCTTACTTTCAGTTTGTCCACAGATCTCAGTTACTACTTATTTAAACAAAAAGTAGTATATCAATAATTACTTAGCTTTTTCTTCCACTATTACTATTGTTCTTTTAGCCTTAAGGGATCTACCTTGTAATTTGCTGTGAGGCTGAGAAATTGGATGAGAAATTATTCTTCATGCTCATAAAAGGGTTCTTTCTGTGGCTTTGATGAAATTGTTGAAGTAGGAGTTGAGAGTAGATTAAGCAAAGCAAAGTACTTGAAATATTAACAATTATGTTCTAATCACTTCAAGTAGAGGGTAGAGCTGATTATATTTGCTAGACAGAGTGCATTTTGGAGACAGAGGAAAATTTTCAATTCCAGTAGGCAAACCATTAAGCTATTAATCAGGTCTTGTTTGGGATTTTTTCCCCCACTTAATAAAAGCAAGGGCTTTTCTGAAGCAGCATGATTACCAAAGTTTTCCATGTTTGTTTACAATGGAGGGGAGATGAATATCTCCAAAGAGTCAAGCTGGTTTGAGCTGGTAGCCCAACCAAAAGAAAGGGAGAAACTCCTTGAAGAGGACATATGTTCAGTACTAAGTGTTGCTGACCTCATGACTTGCTCTCTGGAAGGAGATGACTTAGGTAAAAACATGAAAAAAAAAAAGCATAATGGAAGTCATACATGTACAGGAAACTTTCTGTATGGTAACGGGTGTGCTGTCATACACCACTACTATGCCAGTACTTAGCCTTAGTATTGTGTGTGAGTATGATAGCCAAGACTTGGAAGAAGTTCCTGCTTGTCCACAGGAAGCTGATGAAATGGAAAAATGCAACCAAAACAAAGCTGTTGGCATGGGATTGTATAAAGATTTAGGGCTGCACAAGGGAATTTTCTAGAGAAAGAAATGGAGTAATGTAGCTGAGGGACAGGCCCATGTCAGACAGCAAGGCTGCTGTAATTCCTGGGTTACACTACAGAACTGGAGTTCTCCAGGGTAACAGTTCATCAAGAGGGGTTGAAAAAAGGGAAGGCATAGATGTGTGTAGGTGTGGGGAATTTTCAGTTTTGCGGAGGATTTTTTGTTAGTTCGGATCATTTTATTTTTGTCTCATGTTACTGTGTAAAGGCCAAGGACCAGTTTGAATCCTGGTGCAGGGTTAGCATGGGAGGAAGGATGGCAGAGCAGTATGACCATACACATTTTCCTGTTTGGACTTCCTTAGTTTGTGTTTCTCCTGGGTGTTGTAGCAGAAATACCACCGGTAATTAAAAGAAAAATATGATTCATTTTCATCCGTGTCGAGAGGGAACTCTCAAAATTTCTCCTTTTGGTTGGAGAAATTACTGACAGTTCTTTCAATCTAGGAAAGCTCTGGCTCTGGCAGAGCCTGCCTGCCTGAATGCAAAGAATCCAAGCTCTGCTGCAGATGAAGGAGAGCCCTCAGCTGCTTGAACCCAGAGGTTGCTGTGTTTCAGATAAAGAAAATGTGTTGCTAGCAGAAGAAAAAAAAAAAAAAAAAAGACTTCTTAAATTATGAATCACATTTTCAGGAGTTTTAAAAGCCAATATAGCCTTCCTGAAAAATTTTCATATAGTTGGAGTCTGTTTGTGGGCTTAATTTGTGGCTGTCCTTTGTTCCCTGCCAGGTTCAAGAGTTTGGGGAGAGCTGTGGCTGCTCCCTTTCGACTCCTGCTCTTCGGTAGTGGGGGAGCCCCTGGAACTTGGTGCTCTTTCCAATATCGCTTCTCCAAGCGCCCTGCGACAGCGAGGCCCCCCTGCGAGAAGCGGCTTCAGGTCGCTGACAGCGACGGCCGAGGCCCCTCGCTTTGTTGTGTGGCTGAGTGACACCGAGCTGGTGACGCTCCCCAGGCATCTGCTCCTGTCCCTAACACGGCCGGGTCTTCTGTCGGCACCGCAGACAGCCTTTAACCCCTGCCTCGGGCTGGGGAGCGCCTGGGCGGCGGCGGCGGCAGCGCTTCGGGCCGGACCTTCCCGAGGCGAGCGGGCGTGCGGGGGCCGGGCTGGACGTCGGGGCCCGCCGGCCTAGCGGAGGGGCGCGCGGGGGGGCCGGCCGGGGCACCAAAATAGGAGCAGTCGCTGCGGCCCCGCTGCTTCCTCCGGCAGCGGCTCTTCCAAAGACGGTCACGGGCCGCCGCGAGCTGGGAGCTCCGGAGGGCGGGCGGGCTGCGCAGAGCGGCGTGGACAAAGCGGCGGGGAGCGGCGATGGCCGCGCCCGGGCAGGAGGAGTACGCGTACCTCTACAAGGACTCTGCGCACCCCGCCGGCTTCTTGGAGGCGTTCCGGACGTTTTACCTGGACGGGCTGTTCACCGACATCACCCTGCAGTGCGCTTCGGGGGTCATCTTCCACTGCCACAGAGCTGCCCTGGCAGCCTGCAGCAGTTATTTTAAAGCTATGTTCACAGCCGATATGAAAGAAAAATCAAAAAACCAGATCAGCCTTCCCGGGCTGAGCCATGCGGTGCTGGAAGCTCTCGTGAATTACGCGTACACATCACAGATTCAGATAACAAAGAAAAATGTCCAAAGCCTACTCCAGGCTGCAGACCTGCTCCAGTTCGTGTCAGTAAAGAAAGCCTGTGAGCAGTTTCTGGTGAGGCACTTAGATACTGACAACTGCATTGGGATGCACTCCTTTGCTGAATATCATGATTGCTCGGAGCTGGAGAAAGAGTCCAGAAGGATATTGTTATGGCAGTTTGAAGAAGTGTGGAAGCAGGAAGAGTTTCTGGACATTGGCAAGGAGAAGCTCTCTTATATTCTTTCCAGGGAGAATCTCAATGTTCAGAAAGAAGAGGCAGCTATTGAAGCTGTCATTAAGTGGGTTTCACACAACGTGGAAGGAAGAATTGAAGACATCTGTGAAGTGCTAAGCTGCATCAAAGTAGACTTAGATAATGTGTATTTGAGGTCAGCTTTAAGCCTGCAAAAAAAATGTCGACTCAATGGCAGTAAGATAAGATCACTCATATATAATGCCCTGAACCTCAATCCCAAAGGTCTTTCCAGAAGATCCACAGCAACCATGTATGTAATTGGAGGATATTATTGGCATCCCTTATCAGAAGTGCATGTTTGGGATCCTTTAACTGATGCATGGGTCCAGGGAACAGAGATGCCAGATCACACTAGAGAGAGCTATGGGGTCACTAGTTTGGGACCAGACATATATGTGACAGGAGGTTACAGAACAGAGAGTATTGAAGCTCTTGACACCGTGTGGATATATAACAGCGAGAGAGATGAGTGGACAGAAGGCTGCCCCATGCTCAACGCAAGGTATTACCACTGTGCAGTTTCCTTGAGTGGCTGCATTTATGCATTGGGAGGGTACCGAAAGGGAGCTCCAGTCCAAGAAGCTGAGTTTTATGATCCTTTAATACAGAAATGGCTTCCCATCGCAAACATGATCAAAGGTAGGTAAACTTTTGTATGGTGTCTGCCTACAATGTCAAATCTTTTATATTTGCTATTTTTAAGTGCCATAGAAACATTTAGGATTTGATCCAAATTCTAGAGAAGTCCATGGGTATCTCCTGTTAATGTTACTGGACTTTGGTTCAGGTCTTCACTAGCCAAATGACCACGAACATCCAAATGCTTTGCTGTGCTATAGAACAGAAATAGAAAAGTAAGTGGTAGTCTCAGTTTAATTTTGCCTTCTTTCATGAGTAAAATTTTTGTTCAAATTAGAAAGAAATCAGAAAACTAGCTAGGGTAAGAGTCCATTCAGTACACAATCAAACAGCAAGCTCCAATAAAGGGACTGTATTATTTTTGTATAAGATTTTTCATGCAGTCATTTATAAAGGTGTCATAATTTAAAATCTCTTGCATGGAGTTCCCTCCTATTTCTGTGTGTCATCTATTCAGGATCCTTTGTTTAATCTTTAGTGTGAGAATAATGAAAAGCACGAATACCTGTTTCTAGCAGCCAAAGTAGTGATCTACTAAAGATGTATGAATCACACCCTAACCAAAGGGTGTTGACTCTGAGATGAGCTCAGTTGGTCAGAGTGTGGTGCTAAATAATGCCGAGGTTGCGGATTTGATCCCTGTATGTGCCATTCACTTGAGAGTGGACTTGATGATTTTCCTGGGTCCCTTCCAACTCAGAGTATTCTGTGATTATTTTTGTAATAGTAACAACAGTACTACAATTATACATTTTATTGTACATTTCTATAAATGAATAAAAGTATTTATAATTAGTTATAAAATTTACTGTAAGTTAATGCAAAATAATATTTTTTGATGTACAAGAGAATTTTTGGATGTATATGTAAAAGAAAAAAAAGCAGGCTTTTTCAACTTTCTTGATTGTTTGTATGTTTTCCTCAAACATTGCTACTATTTTCTTTTTATTTCCTTCAAAAGTAGAACTGCTATGCTAATCCTATGGGTTACATATTCTATGCAATTGTTTTGGCCAGTTTTCATAAGTGTGAAACTACTTAGGTGCTCAGACCCCCCTTTGCTTTGTTTAATTTTGTTGTCCTAGAGATAGAGTTAAAATGGCTCCATTTTGATTGTGTCTTTGTTTATACAATAGGTTAATTAGTAATACCATGAGAATGAATAAAAGTATCAGAAAAGATGCCCCAAGACACTGAACAAACTCAGCTCCCATTGTCTTTGTTCTTGCCATCTAAATGATTTTTTAACAACTCTAACTTAATGAAACAGTGAAACTAATTGCCTATTCCAAAATCAGTGAGACAATGTGACTTTAATTACTGCCTAAAAATCCTGTGTGGCTGTACTATTATTACTATTACTATTACTATTATTATTATTTATCATGTGGCTGTACTATGTACAATAGGTATTGGTTACTGCAGTTTTATTTAGTCATTCTTGATGCTGATATCTTGATAAATCTATTTTATTCACATTTAGTTAAATACTTGAAAGCCTATAATGTTGATAAAATATTAATAAATCATTTGAAATGGAGTTATGGATGGAACAGACCATGGTTATTACGTGCAGTCTGAATGCATGTTTGACTTTCACACTGTGAACAGGAGTTGGAAATGCCACTGCCTGTGTCCTGCATGAAGTTATCTACGTCGCTGGAGGTCACTATGGGTACAGGGGAAGCTGCACCTATGATAAAATCCAGAGATACCATTCAGGTAGCAACGAGTGGAGTATTGTCACCACAAGTCCACATCCAGGTAAATACTTTCTCTAACAAACACAGAGCATAATTTGATTACTTGTACCTGGGAGAGAGACCTTAAGCCCAGTTAGGGGTTTTTGGCATATTCCTAATTAAAAAAAGAAATGCCTCTAGGGCAGCAACGGCTGTTTCCAAACTCTGAAAGTGAAAAGGAGGACCTTCCTTAAGTATCTGTTCTATAGAAATCACTATATAAATACTGAATTAAGGAATGTCCACATTCTATTAAATAATATAACTTTCTGTAAAATCTAACTATTCATTGATATTTGGCAAAAATTACTTATATTAATTTTAAAAGGGTTTTATCTATGTTCTACATCTGGTAACAGTAAGTGTTTAAAGCAGTTTTTGCTGAGTACTGGTGCTGTAGTGTAGCAGAAAATCCAGAGGTGTCTCTTAAGCACAGTGAGGATATTCAGCTGCCCTCAGCGGTGCCCACTATTTGTCATATACTTGCAGTTTAAGTTAATGTTGACATGCTGAGTTGTACTGTATTCCTTTTTTTTCTGAAGAATACGGATTGTGTTCAATTACATTACAAAACAAGATCTATTTTGTGGGTGGACAGACCACAATCACCGACTGCTATGACCCAGAGCAAAATGAGTGGAAGCAGATGGCTCACATGATGGAGAGAAGGATGGAGTGTGGCACAGTGGTTATGAACGGGTGCATCTATGTAACAGGAGGATATTCCTATTCAAAAGGAACATACCTGCAGAGCATTGAGAAATATGACCCTGAACTGAATAAATGGGAAGCAGTAGGTAATCTTCCCAGTGCTATGCGGTCACATGGCTGTGTCTGTGTGTATAATGTGTAAGCATTTAAATGCATAAATGCATTTAATTTTCATCCTGTTGTTACAGAAAACAGCAGATGCAGTATTCATAACAGTACTACCTCATGAGGGGTTGTCTAATGCAATCTCTTAGTCTATGTTGTTAATAACTAATTTGTTTTTGTTTTAAACAACTCAGAAACATAAATGTGGTAACAAGATTTCCATGTATTTTTCAGTCCAGTCATTCTTTGTCATGGAAGTTCTCAAACTACTCTCTTATAATACTTTGTACAGCAACATAGGAACTACTGTGAAAAATTTATTTGATTTTGTTAATCACTGGATGAAACTATGACTTGGTGCTAAGATGAGTAAAGCCAAGCAAAATACAGTTCTAAGGATTACTGGCCTTAAGATAAAATCTCTGTATTCTGAAGGTAGCTATAGAAATGGATCATTGACATAAGATAAGTGTATGGTATATACAGAGCAATATCACTCGGATAACTAGGTTATCAGATTCAGAAATGGGCATTTACAGGATGCCTCCAACTCTGCCTTCAAGTACCACAGCAAAGAAGAGCTTAGGAATGAGGGAAGAAATGTTGATAGTAGCCCCAGAGCATAGGCCAAAAGCGTGCACTAGTTTTCCAGATGGAGAAATAAAAGGGCATTTCTCTTTGCCATTCTCACACTCTCTTCAACATCGCCTATGAGAAGTGAAAAAAGACTATGCAAGGCTTTACAGTGGAATCTTTGGCTGATGCACAGGTATTTGTAGTTTGGGTAGTTTTGGGTGAGAGGTGTGTTCAGAGATAAGCCTTAATGTGTTAACTCTTTTTTAATATAATTTCAAGATGTGTGCTTGTGTGGAATGGAAGGAGGGAATGAGAGAGACTGGAAAAGTAACATCTGGCTGAGATTCAAACTTCTCTATTTTGTTTAATACCATTTGATCTTTTCTAAACTGTGACTTGAGAAAAGGTAACAACTAAAGAAATTTGTCAATGTATGTTATGCATGAAGAAAAAAAATTATAAGATTGATTTATTTATTATTTCTCTCAAAACTTAATATGAGATCTTCAAATTCTATGTAGAAAGTAGATTTTGGTAAAGTGATTTACAGAGAAAGATCACACTTTGAGTGGCCTGACAGCAGTGATCCAAATGAAGAAATGCTTTGGGGAACAGAGAAGGCTCTTTTAGCACTGAACCCCCAATCCAGTTTATAAAATGACTGCAGAAACAGCTGTTAGACATTGGTGTGAGAGGCAAGGATGACACAGGGCTGCCGTAGGGTGTGGTGGAAACATCCCACACCAGCACTGCCACCTAAAATGAAATTTTGGTTTTATTTGGTTTCTCAGATACAAAGAAAGGGCTTTTCCAAGTAGTAAGCTCTGAGTTTATAATATTGATTTTGTTTGATCATAAGCACGCTCAGCTTTTTTTTATTCTTTCACATTTTTATGCTATTTCTGACTTACATTTGACTGCTGGTAACAGGTGGTACTCAACTCTAGCTTTGATGTGAAGTTCTGCGGTGTATATGTACAGTTCTTTTTTTAATATTTTCATATGTTGCCTCACAATGTCAGAGGTTGTGTGTGTGTTTAGTATTTTGTTTTGTAACCCATCCCACTGAGATCTATTTAAGCATCCAAAGTAATTTGTTTAAAGACTCCAAACTCTAATGAGTTGTGGAGAATAGAACTCAGAGGCTGTTTGAAATGCATGGGCCAAGCAGGTGGGCAAAAGAGATAAAGTGAATTTGTTTCTCCTGGAAATCTCCATAGCTGAGAATTGCTCAAGGGCAGGCGGGATTTAAAGGGCAACATCACAAGAACATGAAGGTGATCTTTGTATTGAATGAAACCAGAACAAACGCAACATGTTTATGTAATTTTTCAGTGCAAATTATGTTCCTATGAAGCTTGATGTTTGTTGAAAAACACGAGCATAGAACAGCTGCTTGTGGCTGGCCTTGAGGTTCATTCTTGCCTTTATCCTGTCACAGACAGTCATGAGTCAGTGAGTGGATCTAAAAAGAAGGTGAGGACTAACAAAACCAACCCCCTCAGTGTCCACGTGTCAACTGCTTGCAGACTAGGTTCTTGATGTTGGTGAAAGACAATGCTGTTCCAGGGCTGGAGCACAGGCACTGGAAACTGGACTCTGCTTTGTGCCCCTGGGCAACCTGCAGGCAAGCAAATGCTGCTTTTTGGCCTCAGTGTTAAGTGCAAAGCGGAAAAAAAGCCTTTATTTCTCTCCTGTCAGGACAGCTTTTGTTGGTCTGGCCGGCATAAACAAAAGTCAAAGAAAATACTGCTTAGGACTTCAGTTAAATCCTAATTTCTGAGATTTTCAATGCATTAGAATAAACGGAGAGAAGAATGAATTCAGATTCATGGTTAAATTTCAACTGGTGCTATTTTTCACAATAACCTACAATGCTCTTTTAAATTAACTCACATAGCACATCCCAAGAAGGTGTGCTGCAATCAGGTCTTGGGCACAGGTAGGAAAATGAACTCAGCAAGAGCAACAGGCTTCTGACATCTGGTCAGCAGCCTACGAGAGGTGGGAAGCTTAGAGCAGGGAGTCTCTTAGCCGTCTGTAACATGTTTTTAAAAACAGTCAATGTAAACACTGAGTTATTGTGCTATTGGACCTGTATTATGGTAGACACTGTCTTACTGTTTCACTTGTAAACTAGAAAATTAAATAATGTGGAAATCAAAAATTGTAAAGTCAGTACTATTTCTTAAAATTTTCAATTGTGCTCTGCCCACGTTCGTAGTGCTATAGATGCCCACAGTACATCTGTAGTGTTTAAATGAATGTTTGCAATACTTAATAAATGTAATATACCACCACTGCACAAATTCAAGTTGTTAATTTACTTTTTCTGCTCAGCGCGCAAAAGCTGTGAACAGAAAGGGCGAACAGAATCGGGCGCGCGGGGCCCTCACGGGCTCGCGCGCGCGCTCCCGGCGCGGGGCGGGCACGAGGGCCGCGTGGGGCGGGGCCGCTCTGTGGCCCCTCTCCCGCCCCGGAAGTGGCGCTCACGTGAGGGGCGGTTCGGCCGCGGGGGCTGCTGGGCCGCGCGGCGCGGACTCGCGGTCTCTGGAGCGGCGGAGCGGGGCCTGAGCGCGCAGGTTCGTGTGGGGCCGCTGTTCAGGCGTGCCCCGCGGGGCCCGGCCCTGCCGAGGAGCGCCAGGCCACGCCGGGGCAGGGCTGGTGACGGGGTGCGGCGCGGCGGCCGGGAGGGAGGCAGGGACGGTTCCCGGAGCAGGAGAGCACGTGCCGCCTCTGCCCCGGCGGAGGCGCGGAGCGGGCCCGGCCCGCCGCGGTCACTTCCTGCCGCCGGCGCTACCCACGGGGCTCGGGGTCTGCGGGGAAAGCGGGGCCGGCGGCACCGCTCCCGCCGCGGGGAGCTGGGCCCGGCCCGAGGGCAGCGCTGGCGCTCTTGCCGGACAGAGGTGTTCGCTGGGTGGGAGGCTGGGTCGCGGCGCCTGAGGCTCTCTGAAGAGGGCTGTGTTGCTGCTGCAGGCGTGTAAAAGTGTTAACAGCAAACTGATGGTCTCCTAGCACAGTTCAAGGTCTGACATTTCAATTACTTTAAAAATTCTTCGTAAGAATTTTTTTCTTGCATTGCACTGATTCTACTGGAAAAACATCTGAGAAAATGTGTGGTTGTAGTTAATCCTTACCCTTAAATAAAAAACAGGCTCGGACCTCTTATATAATATTAACAGTTCCATGTTACTTTATCGGGAAAGCTTTCTTATTTAAAAAAAAGCCTTTCACTCTATTGCAGTAATGGTAGAATCAGCCTGCAACTAAACTTTGTCCAGAGCTTGAAACTAAATGGCTGGTAAGAAGAAAATCTACTTGATGATCTGGCTAATATAGTGTGGGATCTAATTGTTCTAGTTAAGGGAATTGGCTGTAATTTTTTTTTAATTTAAACCTAATGACTACTTGCTTTATTTTAACCTGGTTTTTTATGTTTTGTGTGGTACTGATACAGACTTTTGGCATATGGAAGGAACAAGTCAGTGTAGTTTATTAAGAACGCCCTTAAAATGAAATCTTTTGTAGTATTTTGCATGCAGTTCAGACTGTGATTGCTGTTCATTGTAGCTTTTTATCAGTCTTTACCACAGCACAGCAACTGAAAACTATTGATCTGGAAGTTGTCTTGTGCCAAATGACTGAGCTAAAGAGTCTGAAGTGAGCATGTGCAGACAAGGCTAGAATTTCTCTTAAATTAGAAGGCTGCTTCTGCTTTTGTTCTAAATAGGTTAGAGCTCAATCACTGAACTGAATTCCATGTGTGGCAAGCTTGAGTCTTTCTTAGTCTTCCCTACAGTTTATGACTTGCAACTGAAAGGATGCTTTTTAGAAAAAATTTTCCACATGTAAGACTTTGTCTAAAGGACGTGTCCTACATCTTGTGTTAGATCATGCTTTTTGGTATTAACCTTGGAAACACTGCTAAGGAAGTAGACTTTGTTTTTTTTCTCTTCTTTACAGTGAAGCTGAGCCTTATGTGGAAACTGAGTTTTTGGTTCTGAGTATTTTGGTACCTGGGTTGAGGCAGGCTGGGACAGCAGTCAGAGACTGCTCTATATGTTGCCATTAAATTAAATCAAATTGGGTAAAATAGAACACTGATTTCTCTCACAAGTAGGGTGTTAAGACAGCACCAGCACCTGAGTAGTGGTGAAGTGTCATTCTCCTGTAGTCAGGGTGGCTCATGTGGGACATCTCTGAAGTAACTGCAACTCTCAGCTTGGGTGCTCTGGCCCGGGTTTTGTGAAGTGCTTTTTAGCTAAATGGATCACACTCAGCATAGCTGGCTACTAACACTTGCTGAAATCATGCTTTAAAGAGTGTTACAGTGTTAGGTACAGGTGCAAGCACAGCACCTTTCAAGGCTGTAAGTGCTGAAGAATTACAAGTAAGTTCCAAGGATTGAATGTAGCATTGAGATCAGGAAAAGGAGGAAATGGAAATACTGCAGACTGCCGTAGGCTGAAAAATTATTGGGGAATTAAAATACTAAAGTAAGGAGATGAGGCTGCTAACTGGGCATTCTGATGAAAAACATAATTTCCTGTAACAAGGGCACCTTGGGGGAGTTTTCCCTGCTTCTGTGTTGCCAGTCATCTCGATGATCTGAAAGATG